CTCCCCCGCCCCTTCCTCTCCACCGAAACACCTGAGGCGGGCGCGCGCGAGGAAGCGGGTGTGGCGAGGCGGAGGCAGGGCCCGGAGCCACGCGCCTGCGCAGGCCGACCCTGCGAAGGCGGGAATTGCGCATGCGGGCGCGTCTCCCGGGACTCCGGAGCGGGTGAGCCCTGGGCCTCCCCGGCGGGCCTGTCGTGCGCGGGATTCTGCACATCTAGGACGAGCTGGCACGTTACATCGCTGGTGCTTCTCTGCCTGCTCAAGATGCCACCACTTAGGCCCCTGTTGTAGAAATCGCCAGACTTTTAAGGACCGCGGAATCGGGACGATCTTGGGGACTGACTTGTACATTCCTGGCAGATCTGCGTACACGAGTTAGATGCAGACGTGGGTTGGTAGAAGGTTTCATTTTCCCCAGTTTTGCAGCTACTCGTTTGCACCATTAGCTTCTCAGAACGGGCTTCCCCAGCCTCGACTGAAAGCTCAGAAAAGCAGTTACTCTTTCCGGTGAGGCTTCCAGAGGATCAAGAATAGCGAGCACCCTGAGTCCACTTGCAGCCGGATAGAGATCGGTCCCTTCGGAAAGAGATCGGGCCCTTTGGATAGAGCTCGGGCCCTTTGTCTTCCCCTCACAGTCGTGACCTATTAACGTTCCTGTGTTGCCAGAATGAGTGACCGCTATCTAGAGCAAAGGATTAGTATAAAATTTTGCGTGAAACTGAACAAGTCTGCAAGTGAGACCCACTGTCTTTTAAAAGAAGCTTATGGGCATGAAGTCATGTCGAGGGCCAGAGTTTATGACTGGCACAAAAGGTTTAGAGAAGGGCGGGAAGATGTTCGCGATGATGCCCGAAGTGGCCGTCCAGTTACCCATCGGACAGATGACAATATCCAGAAGGTCAAGGACTTGGTTTGTTCAAACAGGCAGTTAACAGTGAGGATGATGGCTGAACAGTTAAATTTAGATAAAGAGACTGTTAGACTCATTCTGAAAGAAAACTTGAACATGAGGAAAGTTTCTGCCAAAGTTATATGCGGTATTTTGAAGGGTGATCCTAAACCTCAGAAACTTGGCTTTCTTTCGGATCTTTCCAAAGGAACGAGGAAAGACAGCTCGTGTGTGAAGAAAGAGGTCACAGGTTCTGAAACATGGAGTCATCCCCCGTGTGAAGCTGGTGGGGAAATGCCCCTGCCTGTGTCTCACCCCAGAATCCCCTATCCTGCCGGCCAGCTTCTGCAGGCCTGGTCTCCAGCAAGCCTTCCCTCCAGGGCAGCTCAGGATTGGTTCACACCCCGGTGAAAGGACTGAGACGGCTGAACCTGAACTGGAAAGCTGCCTCACTGTTAGGCACCTTCATTTACTGCTCGTCTGTATTCAATCCTGTCTACCACCCTGCATGCCATGGCTCTCCTAGTTACTCTGCTGGACTGTTGGGCCGGCCATCTTCCTTGCTGATCTTCTCCACAACTTTGAAGAACCTTTGGCTGTTAACTTCTAGTTTTTGCTTGTTCTTGATTTCTTTCGCTTAGCAAGTTTGGGTCTCTTCACTGCCCAGGCTTAGATCATGTGGCTGTCCTGTTGCTATGTTCTTAACATTCTGGGGATCATACCAGTGAGAGGTGGGGACAGGATCTCCTGGAGTCTATATCTGCCCAGGGAGGCATACTCTCCTGGGAGGACCCCAAGAGAAGGCCTCCAGTTCCAGTCTGCTTCACAGTCAGGGCCAGAAGTATGGTCCAGAAGGGAGTGTCATGCTGACATAGTGAGCAATACTAAGGGTTAGTGCAGCCCAAATGATTCATTGTGACCCCCACTCCCACTCCCCTGAATTGATTGGCCAACCCATATTTATATTGAGCTCACAGATCTACCCCTCACAAAAGAGCTGGGTTTGTTTTCTTTTAGTCCTGTGCTTTCGGCCCCTCACCCCCACCCCCACTCATTTGGGTATCTTCTCTGCTGGAAGAGGAGGATCTGATCCCTGAAAATATAAACCAGGGGACTCAAACCCAGGCTGTGCTGTGTGGGGAGGGAGACCAGGTGACACTCTAGATCAGTGATGGCGAACCTTTTGAGCTCGGCGTGTCAGCATTTTGAAAAACCCTAACTTAACTCTGGTGCCGTGTCACATATAGAAATTTTTTGATATTTGCAACCATAGTAAAACAAAGATTTATATTTTTGATATTTATTTTATATATTTAAATGCCATTTAACAAAGAAAAATCAACCAAAAAATGAGTTCACGTGTCACCTCTGACACGCATGTCATAGGTTCGCCGTCACTGCTCTAGATCCTGCATTAAGGGAGTCTGCTGTCTACATGCTGGTGCTGATACCCACACAGCAGCCTGATTTCAGCAACTATCACCAACATTTTCAAGTGCTTTTTGAGCACCTGCATTTTTAGAACATTGCTGGGCACTGAGAGTGTGATGTTATGAAACAAAATCACCAAGGGCTGGGTGGACTTCATGGATGAGGTGGTTCTTGAGCTGGATCTATAAGGAAAGATGGGACACGGGGCTAGGAAATTAGGGAGAGCTTCCCAGGCAGGTGGAACAGGATGAAGCTTTGAAGCTGCATTAGTAAGAAAATGATGGTACTTTTGGCTGAAATAGCAAAGTCCAAAGAGGGAGAGAATGGTATTGCAAAAGATCAACAATTTGGAATCATTTGCTTCCTCTCCTCTGCCCCCAACTCTATGCCAGTTTATAAATAGTGGATAGGTTTATAATAACCTACTTATTTGATTATTATCAACCCCTTCTCCCCCAAAGCAATCTATATAAGTTCAAACCCCTTATATTTTCCTGCCTCTCTGCCAGGACTTATGGAATGGAACTTTCCTCAAGTGGGTTCCAAGTAATGCCACATAGATGAAACATCTCAGAATGTCTGGTGGAGGTGCAGGATGGTTGGTTATTAATAGCATTTCACAGGATTGGCCAATGCCTATGTTTTACCCAAGGATTTTTACATATAATAGCTCCTATTATTCAACTAGTAAGTTAATAAGCAATATTAGTTGATAGAGGTTACTGTTATTCAACAGTTATTTTTAGTTCTATTCTTTCACTGTATCTTCAAAAAAATTACAAGTTCGCCACTAATATTTCTCAGTTTTGAGGCACTCTGAAACCTAGACTTTATCCCACAAATAAAAGATAACGTGCAAGAAAACTCAAACCAAGCAACAGCTTATAGACTTCTACCTACTTAGCGATTTCTAGATCTTCTACTTCTGAACCATTACATCTTACTACATCAGATGAGACCCAGGGTTCCCCACAAACACTCTACACTACATTCTGGAACAAAGGCCCTGTGGCTGTCTAGTGCAACTGTGTGACTGAACTTCTTATTTAAAAAAAAAATTCATTGAATTTATTGAGGTGATGTTGGTTAATGAACCTCATGTTAATCCTTGATAATTGTTGCAGAATTGTGTACTTCTGGGCAAGAGCCAGGATCCCATAACACTACCTACAGACATTATCTTCAACCTATTATAATACAGAGGTCCTGAGAGAACTTATTTCTGGACTTATTCCCATCCTGTGCACAGGGCTGGAGTGACCTTTCCAAAGGTGCTGGACCAAGACCATGCTGGAGTATAGGGTACCAGGAGCAATGTTGGCCCATACAGGGTTTGGACACAGCAACCGGAAGCAGGTAATCAGGACTGTTAACTCAAATTGTTTCAAGTAGCTAAAATGAAAAGGGCTTAATTTATTATCTTAGATCCTGTCCTGAGTAGAAGTCAAGTCAAATGACTACTTGAACCCAATACTCATTTGCAAAGTTTCCCAGAAAGTACCCAATGAGATGATAACCCTGTTTACCTCAGATTTTGCGGAAGTAAAATTACTGCCCAAACACTCATCCAGAGCAAACCATACATAACTGTTCAGAATCACTAAACCCTAGGCTAGAGCATGATCTAGGAGTATCCCCAGATGCCATGTGAATTTTGCCCTGGCCTGCACCTTGTTGCCCAGGGCTCTTGAGCTCCTGATCCTGTAGTCTCAGGGATCCACCCATCATCATGCCCCAGGCTCTTGTCCTTGGGTTTTCTCAAACATCTCTCAATTTATTCTTCACCAGTTTGCTCTTGCTCCTCTGTTTCCCTGGTTCTTTGTTTTCTGGTTCTAGCCCACACCTCCCTCCAGTAGCTACTTTGGTCACTTTGGTGTGCTGATCTTGAATTGCCCTTTTGGTCATAGTTTTTCACTCAACTTGCAACTAACTCCACTCTCTTCTGGTTTTTGGATCCCTCTTCCAGCTCTTACTTCAGTCCTCAGTAAGGAAATTGGTCCAGCCCTAGCACCAGGTTGCTTTCCTATCCTTAGAAAGTGGGATTGCCGTAACCGGTTTGGCTCAGTGAATAGAGCGTCGGCCTGCGGACTGAAAGGTCCCAGGTTCGATTCCAGTCAAGGGCATGTACCTTGGTTGCGGGCACATCCCCAGTAGTGGTTGTGCAGGAGGCGGCTGATGGATGTTTCTCTCATCCATGTTTCTAACTCTCTATCCCCTTCTCTTCCTCTCAGTAAAAACTAAATAAAATATATTTTAAAAATTGTTAAAAAAAAAAAAAAAGAAAGAAAGAAAGTGGGATGGGCAACATGGGGGAATGTGTTCTTTTGTTTTTGATAAGGGGCATTCAGAGAGAAAAAAACGCTCCTTTCCTCACCCTTAACCCCCTGGGGGTTCCACTCCCCAGCAGTAACCAGTGTTACCAGTTTCTTAACCTGTTAACTGCCACGATATTTTGAATTTAATTAAAAAGGTCCACTGCTTGCGTCTATAGATGCTTATGGCGTACAAATGCAATTTGATTATCTCTGGTACTCAAGAGTCATGAAAGTTTCTAGAGATATAACAGCCAAGTCCCCTTGTCTCAGCAACTGTCTTTTCCCTGACAGGAGGAGCTCCACCTAACTATAGGAGGTGAAGCCTAGCTCTCTGTAGGATGTCAGGAGGAGAGCTGGCCATCTGCAAGTCTTGACCATAATTTTCGAGCTTAAAATGATCAATTAATGCAGTGGTTCTCAAACTTCTGGCCCTTTAAAACAGTTCCTCATGTTGTGACCCCCAACCATAAAATTATTTTCGTTGCTACTTCATAACTAATTTTGCTACTGTTATGAATCATAATGTAAATATCTGATATGCAGTATGGTCTTAGGCGACCCTGTGAAAGGGTCGTTCGACCGCCAAAGGGGTCGAGACCCACAGGTTGAGAACCACTGAATTAATGAATCTCTTTGGCTTTCACGCTGATCTCCCTTCCCATCCCCATTCTGATTCAGAATCCACATGGAATGTTATATGCCACAGCTGGAAGTCCAGGAGAACTAGAACAAAGTTGTGAACTCAACTTGTTTCAAGTAGCTATAATGAAAAGGACTTAATTTATTATCTTAGATCCTGTCCTGGAACAATCCTTTGTTGATAGAATAAACACTTTCCAGGGCAGATCATCCCATCATTGATTTTATCAACTTTTCCACCCATTACACCACCCTACCTTACTCCATCTGTCCCACTGGTAATAATCAAAAACAGAAAGAAAATGTTCACTGATCTTTGAAAAACATGGGTAATTCTGCATTCTTCCGAATTCTGCCCCGGCTTTGAATCCTCATTGAAATGTGAACTTGTTTGGGAAGAATGTGTATCTGGGACCTGCTTTCCAGAGCCCTCCTTTCAGATCCATTTCCTTGTCAGAATTCACATTTGCCACTTGATGTACCCAGATAAATCTGGATGTTAAATGATTTGAGGACATCTAGTAAAGAAGTGTGGTACTTTTGGGGAACAATCTCACTGTATCAACTATTCAACCTGCCTACTATTTGCAGACATCATTGCCAGCAATTCTTACTACTCTTGGGATTGCATCTCACCAGAGTCCCATGTGGCTCAGTTAGTAAGAGCTTCCTTTGCTGCTGGATCTATATATGAAACCCTATGTTCTACTGCTTCTTAGTTGGGTCAGACCTCTCAGATTTTACAGGCTTTGCATCCTATCCTCCGGGGCAAATCCTCAAGTATTTATCTTCTCTACTCTCTGGCTTATTAGATCCTTGCAAATACTGTCCCAGCTGCATCACCTTTCTCCTGGTATTGATATTCAGAAACAAAACAAAACAAAAAAATCTGTAGTGGGAAACTTTAATCCCTCCAAGGACCCACTTAGGTCTAGTGAAGGGGTCATAAAGGAAATGTCTTAGGATTTGTGGGCTATGTAGTCTCTGATGTAACTACTCAACATTTTATTGCAAAAGCAGACAGCTAATAAGGAAGCAGATGAGCATGGCTGTGTCCTAAAAAACAAACTTACTTTATGGATACTGGAATTTTAATTTCATATAATTTTCGCATGTCACAAAATATTTTGATTTTTTCAAACATTTAAAAAGGTAAAAAAAAAATCATTTTTACACTCCTTAGCTCGCATACTGTAGAAAAACAGATGGTGGGCTGGATTTGGCCCAAGGACCATAGTTTGCCGACTCTTGGTCTGGTGTATATAAAGTGTATATATAAAATGACAGATAATCAATTCTTTTCCATCAATATGCTTGCTACTGCCAAATTCATCTGATGTTATCAGACAATTTACTGTACATAAATTGTGGAATATTGAAGGGAATCTTCATGGTGCCAGGAGCGTGAACTAGAGCTGAATGATTGACTATTTTACCTTGACCTTATTCTGGTTCACAAAATGAGTTTTGTGCTCTTTTTGAAAAAAGAAAATGATAATTGAAAGGGCGAGGGCTAGGCCCTCCATCTTGCCCCAGGGTAAGGGCTAGGCCCTCCATCTTGCCCCAGGGTAAGGGCTACGCCCTCCACCTTGCCCCAGGGTAAGTGCTCCATCTTACCTTGGCCACGTGCTTGGCAAGGAGCTTCTTCC